AAGAAATCTTGTTTACTTCGTAGCTTAAGCCTTAAACTAGGAGAAGTTATAGATTAGATCTTTCAGATGTGGTCAGAATCAAATTTTTGTTTACAATAGTAAAGGGCAAACTCAGTGCATGAGGCTCCCGTCATTGCGGAATCTAGAGAGACTCATATATTATTAGTCGTAGCTCCGCATTCATTTGGGATTGCCCCCTTCTTGTGTAAAATGTTGTCATAAACACTATCAGAGCAAGCTTCTCGCTTAGCATTCAGTTTGGGTTGAAATTTCTCAAGCTGGTGACAAAAAAGGAAACTTAAAATTCTCAATCTTTGGAAACCTGCAGATGCAAAGTCAATAGTAATGACTTAATAGTTCTTAGACAGAATGATAACATGTACTTGTATTCATTTGTTTCTTAATATGCTGGAATTTTATTCTCAAGTCCATTTTTCTTCCAAATGCCATCGGAGAAAAAAATAAATAAATAAAAAAATTTGTAGTCCGTTTTGTTGCTTGAACTCTTGGAAATTTTACGATCTTTTCTCCCCCAACTTCTTTCCATCGCCCGGGGGGTGGGGGGTTGGGGAAACCTTATTTCCATCTGCAAGTTATTAATGCATAATGCAAAAGCTACGAGATGAGCCATATTTCTGATAAATGGTCTTGTTGAATGCGTTGACCGTACCCCTAAATAAACAAATGATCGGATTATAGTAAAAATAAAATGAAAAGCAGAGTAAAATTATGTCCTCTGTTTTTAAAATGTCAAAGACTTGTCAAATATATATATATATATATATATATATATATATATATATATTTGTCAAACGAAGCTAATATTTAATGGATCCAAATCATGTATATTACCTGTATCAAGTAACAAAGTAGTGAAGGAAGGCAGCCAGCCCAATTTAGCCAACAAGGCTATGTTTATAATCAGAGATGGATCCAGAAAATTATGTGAGAGGAGGCGGACCTTTAATAATAAGAAAATAAAAAGATTCGAAGCATGGGATGGGGGTAATAGTAATTTTTTTTTTTTTCTTTTTTTGTAATTTCTGGGAGAGTGGGAAATTTTAAAAATTTATAAGTGAAAGTACAAAGAATTTTTCCCTAATTGTAGAGAGAGAAACTTTACACTCCCAATGATTTTTCAACCCCTTTTCCCTCTCAATCCCTTCTATTTATAGACAGTTACAACCTCCACTGAGCTGATCCTATCCTATTCTCCTTTGGCTGGACTCGATTCCTCTCATTTCATCATGGGCTTCTGAAATAGCTTTATGGACCTGGGCCCATACGGCACGAACTGGCTCCATCACTCCAAGCCCGGGTCGTTTTGGTATCCTCATTTGCCCCCAATAATCTCTTTCGTCATTAATGAGGGTGAGATTATTGAGAGGACACGATCTTAGTCTGACGGCTTGGAGCAATAACTCGAGGAATCGAACGGCTGGTACAAGAACCCAAGTTTCGAGATCTGCAGTGCCACTTTTTGCCTTGACCTTTGGAGTTCCATGTCGCTTTTACTTCTCCTCTTTATAAATTCTGATCTTTCTCTCCTTCATCCTCTCTCTTACCTCTTGCTTCTACTCCCTGTTGATTTCCTGCACATTCCGGCGATCCTTTTTACTTTCTCCGGCAAGTCCTTCTTTTTCAATTTTTAGCTACTGTGTCGTTGCTGAGTTCATCACAAACCTTCGAGGTTAGTTTCTCTTTTTTTAAAAAAAAAAATCCTCTCCTTAAAGGCGCCTTTACTGCCTAGAACTCTTCCCCTTTTCATGGCTTCCCCTAACCTGAACACCATTCGATCCAAGAATTGTATCCCTCGTTACGTTTCTCTCAGAGTCTACCCAACAAACTTAGACGAGAAATCCGGTGAGGGTTTTCTTCCTGGGGAAGTTTTGTTCTCTGCCGTTCACCTAAACGTCATTAGGTTCCCCGTACACCCATTCTTTTGCTACACTTTCAACAAATTGGGGCTCTGCCCCCCTACAAGTTAACCCAAACTTTCTTAGGGTAATTTCAGTTCTCCTGCTCTTGAATCGTGACAGGGGTCTCAATCTTGACATTATTGACCTTCTCCTCTGCTATCGGATTAACAAGATCTCACAAAACGACTTGTACTATCACTTCTTTCCTATTGACAAACGGTCAATCTGCACTGATAAAAGCTCATTTGAAAAGGGTTGGAGGCGGAATTTAATTGTGGTTGGTGGGAATTGGCGGACTCCGCTCGGCCGTTCATTCCCTATCCCCTCTTCCTTTGGAACCTGTTCTGTCTCTGGCTATAAGAAGCTGAAAAAACATCCTTCTGAATGCCACTGTGAAAGTTGTCTTCCCCGCTTTGGCACTTTTCTTTGTAGATGCCTTGAAATTCCCCATGATGAACTAGTTTATAGCGTCTGCAGGGCTAGGCTAGATACCTTGCAAGAAAACGTGCTGAACGATGTTCCTTCAGCTACTGATTTGCTTACATCTGATAATCTTTCTGACATCTCTCTTTTAGGGTCTACAATGGAGAACATTCAGATCCCATCGTTCAGCAGGAGGAGGCGTCTTGCTCCCACCCCTTCTAACGTTCCTGCCGTTATTCCATCACCTACACCTGCTTCCACATCATCTCTTCCTGTTGCCTCTGCCCCAGAGCAAGTTGTGGTTGCCCCAGCTGTAACTCAAGTCTCAACCCGTTCTGCTGATGCGCCTTTAAAGCTCACCCATGTTGAGAACCCTGTTACGGGCCATGCTGCTAAAGTCCGTCCTGCTACCCCCGTCATTAAGCCATCAAACATTTCGTCCGACACTTCTTCAGAAAGCACTCAGGATGCTGGAAATTCTGAGGACAACGGGGGGCCAGCTAATGTTGCTCTGTTGGAAAAGAGTTTGGGAAAAAGGCCAATGCCTGAGGGCGGTCATGATCAGAGTGATATCCCTCCGACCCGAAGGATAAGGACGGCTTCCTTCAGGGTTACTAAACCATTGCCCCCTACCCGGTTCTTTATTCCTGAAGGTGAGTCGGCCAGAACCTCTGGTCCAATTCCATCCGTTCTTCCATGGCGACCTTTGCTCAGCCGTGAAGATGGATCAACCATTGGCCCCACTGACTCAATATACAAAGACCCCCTAACCTCGTTTGCTTTCTACAAGGGCTTCTGGACCCCCAAAGACCTTGAAATCCAGAACAAACTGTCCTTTGGTGAGATGTTCCAACGATTCCCGGCCGCTGCTATGGAGGTGACCCTTTTTCCAATGAACTGTGTTCCTTTTCAGTTATGATTCCTTTGTACTTAGTCTGATCTGAATTTCTTTTCCTTCATGCAGACTCTGTTCGGGATGTTCACCTTTCAGAAAACAGTTGAAACACTGAATAAAAAACTTAAGTCTCTCTCTGTGGGCCTTAAAAGGTCTGTTGAAGCAGAGACTCTTTTTGAGGCCAGAGTTGCTGAGCTGGAGTCAAAGCTTAGGGACTCTGAGAAGGAAGTTGATGACCTAAAGGTAGAGAGAGACGGTCTGGCAAACGAGAGGGATTCCCTCAGAGCTGAACGAGATTCCCTGAAGACCGAACGGGACTCTCTTCATGATGAGGTTAATGTCTTAAAAACCGAGAAGAGTGTAGCTCTGACAGAAAGGGACTCTCTCAAAGCCGAAAAGGGGGACCTTCAGCGTTCATTCATTGCTGAACGGTTATCATATGCGAATTCCAAAGAAAAACTTCTGAACGAACGGTCTTCCCTGATGAACATGATCAGCAGAGTCGAAGGGGGAATGAGGGCTCTCCTTGCTCGCTCTACCAGGACCAGTGCCATCCGGTATGCTGAAGGGTACAGAGACGGTTTTGTTGACCGTTGTCCCCCCGATGGTGAATCAAGCTCTTGTGTTGGTCCTGATGAACTGGACGCTTCTCTGGACATCCACCCCCCAAACAACTATCAAAATCCACCATGCGACCTAGCCGAGAACATTTTTATTGAATGCATAGAGGTCACATCTTCAGGAATTGTCCCACCCTTTCACCCTCTGAACATTCTTCCCCTTTCTACCATCGTGCCATCTTCTTCCGTCGCTGCCGAAAGACCTATGCCTGCTGAGGGGGTGATTCATCTCGACTCCCCTTTTAAGGATGATAGGACAGATGGAGATCTCGATGGTCCAGAGGGAGATGGTGGCGAGAATGACAAGCCACAGTCTGGAGAAGATCAGAATTGAGAGCCAATAGCATTTTTTTTTTTTTTTTTTTTTTTTTTTTTGAATCTGCATGTATGGTACTATATACCTTGGGGCCTTTTTGGCTATGAATGATAATATCTTTGCTCAGTATCACTTTCCTCCATTGAGTTTTCTATTTTCAGCTTTGCAGTGTTGTTTTTCTTTTTTTTACAAGTGTTTAGCGTTCGGCCATATCACCATTCTGTCCTTTCCTTACTCATTTCTGAGCAAGTGTTTGGCATTCGGCTTTAAGTGCCAGCTGCCACTAACTTGCTGAAAGCCTGGCGCTCGGCCTAAACGCCTCTTGCCACTTGCCTTTTTCATTTTCTGAGCAAGTGTTTGGCATTCGGCTTTAAGTGCCAGCTGCCACTAACTTGCTGAAAGCCTGGCGCTCGGCCTGAACGCTTCTTGCCACTTGGCTTTTTCATTTTCTGAGCAAGTGTTTGGTGTTCGGCTTTAAGTGCCAGCTGCCACTAACTTGCTGAAAGCCTGGCGCTCGGCCTGAACGCCTCTTGCCACTTGGCTTTTTCATTTTCTGAGCAAGTGTTTGGCGTTTGGCTTTAAGTGCCAGCTGCCACTAACTTGCTGAAAGCCTAGCGCTCGGCCTGAACGCCTCTTGCCACTTGGCTTTTTCATTTTCTGAGAAAGTGTTTGGCGTTCGGCTTTAAGTGCCAGCTACCACTAACTTGCTGAATGGGAAGGGTGTAGATTTTTAACAAAGAAGAGGCTTTTTATAAAGTATGGAAATTTCGTACACTTTCAAGCATGCAATTCAGAACGTACAATATGCTTGAAATTAAACTCTACTTTTACTGGTAGTATCTTTTCAGAGACATAGTATTCCATGGCTTATTGATTACCCTTCCTGTCATAGTTTCTAGGACGTATGCCCCCTTCCCAATGACTTCTGCTATTCTGTACGGACCTTTCCATGGGGAGAACATCTTTTTGACTATTCCCACCTTCCTTTTCAGAACCAGATCGCCAGGAGTGAAACCCCTGTGCCTCACCTTCTTGTTATGGCTATTCACGAGCGTCTGTTGATAAGAGACAAGCCTCACTGCAGCCGCATCCCTTTTTTCTTCCAATAAATCAAGATTGAACCTCAGCATTCCATCATTCTGCTCTTGATCCCATGCCAAGCTCCTTACAGTTGGAACCAAATGCTCGACTGGTATCACCGCCTCGGTGCCATAGGCTATAGCGAATGGGCTCTCACCAGTTGGCCGTCTTGGGGTTGTTCTGTAAGCCCACAAGACGTTCGGTAGCTCATCCAACCATTTGCCTTTTTCATTCTCCAGTTTTTCTTGATACAAGCAAATATTATCCTGTTTGTGATTTCAGCTTGACCATTAGCCTGAGGATGACTGACTGCTGCTAACTTTTGATTGATTCCATATTCCTCTAGCAGCTCTCTCACTTGCTTGCTATCGAGGTTGGTTCCATTGTCCATCACGATTGACCTTGGTATGCCAAAATGACAGATAATATTATTCCAGAAGAAGCGTCTTACTTGAGTTTGGGTGACACTAGGGTACGGCTCCGCTTCTACCCATTTGGTGAAATAATCAGTAGCTAGTAGAACGTACTTATTCTGCGATCTTGCAGTCGGCAAAGGGCCAACCACGTCCATCCTCCACTGCGCGAAAGGCCATGAGGTGGCCATTACGTACAGGTCTTCAGGTGGTTGATGTATCAATGACCCGAACCTCTGGCATTTATCGCATCTTCTAGAGAATTCTTCTGCATCTCGTGCCATGTTCGGCCAGAAGTACCCCTGTGTCATTGCTTTGTGTGCTAAAGATCTTCCTCCGGAGTGATTTCCGCATACTCCCTCGTGAATGGTTCGCATAATCTGTCTAGCTTCTGTAGGGGTAGCACACTTCAAATATGGACCCGAGAAGGAGCGTCTATATAACTGACCGTGCATAATGGCATACTTTGCTGCGTTGGACCTAATTCTTCTTGCCTCGTCCTTACACTCGGGGAGTGTACCACTACGTATGTAAGCCATGATTGGATCAATCCAGCTCGGCTCATATGGTATGACATTAACATGTTGAGTGCTCGAATCAGGCAGTTCTTCAAAAATGGAAGGTTGGATCAGTATGTCGACCGGGATGACCCTAGCTAAAGTATCTCCAGAACTGGATGCGCTACAAGCCAAGTGATCGGCATCTTTGTTATACTCTCTCGGCAACTGGATAAACCTGATCTGATCAAAGGATTTCGCCTCACGCAGAACCGCAGTTCGGTATGCTTCCATAGTCTCATCCTTGGCTCCATAGTCCCCATTGACTTGTCGAATGACTAGTTGCGAGTCACTATAAGCCATTAGATTCTTGATCTTCAATTCCTTAGCCAACTTCAACCCGGCTATCAGCGCCTCGTATTCTGCCTCATTATTGGTCGCGCTGAACTCTAGTCTTATCGCTTGGCTCAGCGTAGTTCCTTCTGGTGTTTGCAATTGAATTCCAATCCCGGCCCCCATTTGATTCGAGGAGCCATCCACGAAAAGCTTCCACCAAGAACAATTACAATCCTCCACCGTATCTTCATTATCACAGTCAAGTAGGAAATCTGCCACCGCTTGACCTTTGATTGCCGTCCTGGGCTCGTATGTGATATCAAATGAACTCAATTCAATGGCCCACTTGGTCATTCTCCCCGACAGGTCCGGTTTGTGCAGGATCATTCTCAAAGGGAAAGTTGTTAAAACGACGATTGGGTGAGATTCAAAATAGTGTCTAAGCTTCCTTTTTGCGTTGACCAGCGACAAGATCATTCGTTCGGCCCTAGAGTATCTTCTCTCTGGTTCAGACATTATCTTGCTAACATAAAACACCGGGAACTGCTTGCCCTCTTTGCAACGGATCAGAACGGCACTGGTTGCTTTACTGGACACCCCGAGATATAGAAGAAGTCTCTCATTCGGTTCTAGAGCAGACAGAACCGGGGGATTACGCATGTACTCCTTCAAGCTGGTTAGTGCCTGCCGTTGTTCATCCCCCCAGGTTTGCCTTCCATGCCCTCGTATTGTATCAAAGAAAGGTTTATAGCGGTCCGAAAGCTTGGAAATAAATCGGCTCAGTGCGGCTATCCTGCCTGTGAGTGCCTGCACCTCTTTAATTGTCTTTGGCTCTGCATTCCTGATTAAGGCTTCTGCCTGTGCTGGGCTGACTTCAATTCCTCTATGATTGACCACATGTCCCAGGAATTGACCGGAGCTTACACCGAATGAGCACTTGGCCGGATTAAGCTTCATCCCATACTGGCGCAACACATCGAACACATCTTGCAGGTGCGCTAAATGATCACTCTTCTTCTTACTCTTGACCACCATATCATCAATGTAAGCCTCGACAGTGCTGCCCATCTGGCCCTTAAAAATCTTGCTGATCAGCCTTTGATAAGTGGCTCCAGCGTTTTTCAATCCGAATGGCATGACTTTATAGCAATAAGTCCCTCGTTCAGTAATAAATGAAGTCTTCTCTTCATCAACTGGATCCATAGGAATTTGGTTATAACCGGAATAAGCATCCAGGAAAGTTAACCGCTCATATCCTGTGGTGGCATCTACCATTTGATCAATCCTGGGCAATGGGAAACTATCCTTTGGGCAGGCTTTGTTTAGGTTGGTGAAGTCGATGCACACTCTCCATTTTCCATTCTTCTTCTGCACTACAACAACGTTAGAGAGCCAGGCCAGGTACTGAACTTCTCTGATGAATCCGGCTTCAAGCAGCCGATCAACCTCCTCAGCTATAATCTGGTTTCATTCTGGAGCAAATCTTCTCTACTTCTGCTTTACTGGCTTTGCATTCGGATCCACATTGAGGGAATGGCAGGATACAGCAGGATTTATCCCTGGCATATCTGAATGGCTCCATGCGAATACATCCGCATTCCGAATCAGGAAATTAGTCAACTCTAGTCTCTCTTCTTCAGTGAGTTTGGTGCCCACCCTTGTTGTTCGGTCGGGTTTTCCACGATCAATCTTTGCTTCATGAAGGGGTTCTGTGGTCAGAACTGGCGGCTCCTCCCCCCCATCCTTGCTGGGAGAAGGGTTTTGTAATTGCTATTTTGGAATGGCAGAACGGATGGGATTTTTCCCTTTTTCAGTAGATTTTAAAGTTACTGAATAACATTCTTTAGCCACAACCTGATCCCCATGTATATCTATCACCTTGGTCCCATCCGGACCTAAACATCGCATCACTTGATGTAAGGTTGACGGAACGCCCTGAATTCTGTGAATCCATCCTCTGCCCATCAAGAAGTTGTATGATGGATAAATTTCCACTACCACGAAACTTTCAGTCAGAACTCGCTCAGCGGCTTGTACTGTCAATTCTACTATTCCAATGGGTTCCACTCGCTTCCCATCAAATCCGAGCAGCGGATTCCCTGTGGGTTTGAGTTTTTCGGGTGTGATCTCCAGTCGGTCGAACGTCACCCTGGGCATGACATTCGCACTACTTCCTGGATCAATCAGGACTCTCCGAACCAGGCATTCTGCAATTGTTAGACTGACGACTAGTGGATCTTCATGAGGAATCTGAATGCGTAGCAGGTCCGTTTTATCAAACTTTATCGATGTGGACGCGTTCTGCTGGTGTAAAGCATGCACACTGCCAATTCTTCTTTTCAACTGGGCCTAGCGTAACCTCGTCCTGAGCAACTCCTCTGACTCCGTCGTTTGCTCAGGCCGGCCATGAATTGCGTTTATAATCCAGACGAGTTGGGAGTTGTGTTGGTTTGGCCTCTGGTTCCGTTTGATTTGCTCAGTCGGGCGATTATGCTCTTGCGCCAGACCCTGGACATAGCTTATAAACTCCCCCTTTGCGATCAGCATCTCTACCTGCCTCCTTAGGTTCCTACATTCGTTAGTCTGATGCCCAAAATCACTATGGAAAGCACAATGTTTAGTCTGATCTCTCTGTTCAAGAGGTTGCCTGATTGGCAGAGGAGGACGAAACTTATCTTTGTTCTCCTGGTATAGCCTTGCTAAAGTGACTCTGAGTGGAGTGACTGATTCCTCCTCCCTGGGCCTCTTCTCCGCCTTCCATGAGGGGTGACGTTGCGGTTGAGCTTGTTTTTGCCGGATCTTGGCTTTGGACTTCTCCTCAGTCGAAATAATTGACGTCTTCCTTGAATTAGCTGCTTCTTCCTCCTCAAGGCGAACAAAACCGTCAGCCCTCTCGTTCAGCTCGTCCATTGTCTTTGGTGTATTAACCACCAAGCTGGTGTGGAACGGCGTCCCCCGGTTCATTGCAAGTTTAAATGCTTGGACTGCTGTGGACGGGTGGCACTCCATTACCATGCTCTTAACGAGGTTGAACCGGGTGAGAAAAGCTTGGAGCCGCTCATCCTCATGCTGCTTCATTGTAAAAAGGCTCGATACATCCTTAGTCGAACGCTTATTCCCGTAATACTGGCTTATGAACTTATCGCATAAGTCCTAGAAACTGGCGATTGAGCCTTGAGCCAGATTCTTGAACCAATTGAGAGCTGGTCCAGCCAGGCTCGTAGGGAAACACTTGCACATCAAAGGATCATTATTAGTATTCAAAGCCATTTTTAACTGAATATGGTATATGTGATCAACCGGATCAGTTGTTCCGTCAAACAGAATGAAGATCGGCATGGAAAACTTCTTCGGATTCGGCGCGTTCAGAATTTCATCAGTGAACGGCGATGCGACCGTCCTTGCTGAGGAACGCAATGCTTCGTTTTCTCTTGAAAATCGTGACGGAAGTCCTCGATCGGCAGATCTCCTTTCCAAGTTATTGTAATCAACTGTCGCTAATGAAGGTCGGTATGGCGGATCGAACGACCTATCCTCTCCAAATTCACTCCGCCATGGTGAAGCAACCCAATGTTCATACGCTGGTGCTTCCTCCCTCATAATCCGTTTGTGATGCGGTTTCAGACGAACAGATCCTTCCCGATCTTCTACTCTGCCGACATTCGGAGGCAGATTACCGATTATATCTTCATCACGACGTAGATCACCACGATTGACGTCTTCTGGATCACCTTGACGATCAGCTTCGAACGGTAAAGCTCCTTCTCTTTCAGGAGGTGGCCTCGGAATTGCAAGAGCCTCACGATGCTCCATTCCAGCTCGTAGTTCTGCATTTTCTTTCCTCAAAGCATCGATCATGTTCATTAGCTCGTCGAGCTTTGTCTGTTGGCCGTTCTCCAAAGGATTCGAGTTCGCCTCTCCGATCATCATTCCAGATCGGAGCAAAGTCATCAACTGCAGACTTCTTGACCAAATCGGAGCTTCGCTAACGCGCGCACACCAGATCTGAACTTACAATTGCTGAATTCAGTCCGCTACTGGCCGGATTCAGTAATCACAACAGATCGCAATTGTGTAGTTCGCCGGATCAAGCACGGATCTGATCTGCTTGGATCGGACGCCAATTTTCCAAAATCAACCGGAGCCTTGACTCGTCAAGACAGATCGTATTATCATAAATGTTGATTCAGCTTTCGCAGAGTAGTCGTCTTCCTCGCAGAATGCGTTGAATCGATCCGATCTAGAATGATATCAATCAATCCTTCTTGTTCTTCCCACAGACGGGGCCAATTGAAAGTACAAAGAATTTTTCCCTAATTGTAGAGAGAGAAATTTTACACTCCCAATGATTTTTCAACCCCTTTTCCCACTCAATCCCTTCTATTTATAGACAGTTACAACCTCCACTGAGCTGATCCTATCCTATTCTCCTTTGGCTGGACTCGATTCCTCTCATTTCATCATGGGCTTCTGAAATGGCTTTATGGACCTGGGCCCATACGGCGCGAACTGGCTCCATCCCGTTTGTCCACATCCGACCCATCCTATGCAATGTGGATCACTCCAAGCCCGGGTCGTTTTGGTATCCTCAATAAGTTTAAAATTCAGAAAAACAAAATTGGTAGGTACATAATAGCAAAAAAAAAAAAAAAAAATGTTTGAGTAGGGGCACTGGGCCTTTCACTAGGTATGTGCGTTCTGAAACAGAGGCCCAATGCTCCTAGGTTTGCATATAGTATTCTAGTTCTTTTTCATCTAGGGAAATTATTGCAACTTCGTGTTATGGTTATTTTGAACATATGTCCTTACAACTTCTAAAGTGGAGAGTTCGTAGTATGGGAGTTATGTTGTCTTTCGAAGCATTGAATCTGCGTCTTAGAATTGGAATTGGAGAAAATTTTGTTTACACTTTGAACTATTAGACCGATTCGATACTCCCAAGCATAATGAGAACTTAATTGATTTTTACTTTCATGGTTTCTGAGTCAAAAAGGAAAATATTTAGGTCTTCACCGATGAGGATGTACACCATCCTCACCGGCTGATGTAAAAAATGATGAGCCTTTACTTTACCATTCAATATATATACACACACACACACACATATATATTTGTGTGTGTGTGTGTGTGTGTATATATATATATATAGTTTGGTATGCGAGTATATATTTTTTTGGGTATGTAAGTGAGAATTTTTTTTCTTTTTTTTGGTATGTAAGTGAGTATATATATATAAAGTGAAATGGAGAAGAATTTCCAAGAGAGCTGGGAACATTCCCCAAGGCCGAAAACAATGGGCTTCAAGCCCATATGGCCAAACTTAAACATAAAGTCAGAAAACCAAAACAAAAGCCAAAGCCCAACCACTCCCTCCCACTAACTGACCAGTGACCAACTAATCAATCCCACAAGAAGGCGGGAAACATCAACAAACATAGAGGAAGAAACGTCCATGGGAGAGATTAGGTGAAGGAGAAGAAGATTCTTCTCCATTGGATCGAAAAAGGATCTAGGTAGGTTTCAGCAGAAAGGAACTTTGAAATTGACCTTGTGAAAATAAAGGGTATGGAATGAATTTGTCCACAACTACCTTTGTCCACTCCTATTAAATATAAAAAATTCTGCCAAACCCGTCCCAAATCCCAAATCCGGTAAAACGTGTATCATACACTCTTGTGAATTGTGATCCAAAGAAAAACCATTGCATGCACAAACAAGTGCACATTTGAATTTTGCATTCATAGGAAATTCAACATTTGAACAATTGTAGTGCAATATTGAAAGTAAATTCGAATAATGTAAATTCGGACTTTTGAACATGACTACAATGCATTAATAGGAAAAAAGAACTTTGCAGTTGACTTTGTTGAGTAGCCATTATTGGTGGGGGGCATGCTCTTTGATTCATTCCATTAGGAACTCCCTCAAAACTTTAGGATATGTAGTGAGGGTATAGTTTGAAACCTACATCAAGCCACAGAAATCTTGATTAATTAGTAGGCATTGCATTTGCATATATACGGTTAGGACCAATTTCTTGTCTAGTACAGTATCAAATCAAAAGCTATACATGTCCTTGTGCTAGTCGGGGTGGTAAGGTGGTAGGGCAACTGACTACTCACATAGGCCTGCGTGAGTCCCACCATATTGGGTGTCGTGCCTCGCAAGCCACTCGGTTATACCAACTATTGCAGTAGGGCTATAACCATTGCAGTAGGGCAACTGACTACTCACAGAGGCATGCCTGAATCCCACCATATTCAAGCCGTTGTGAGCAGTCAGTTATACCAACTGTTCGCAAGGAATATAATTATTAGTCTGATAAACACTAGCATAGCAAATTTCTGTCTCAACATTCTTTGGACATCTGCGGATAGAAGTGAAACAATGCATAGTCAATAGTAAATGACTTAATAGTTCTTAGACAGAAGTCACAGAATGATAAGCTGTACTTTGGGCTCAGTTGTTTTTCCATATGCTGGAATTTAATTTCTTCTCAACTCCATGTCCTTCCTTCCAAATGCTATATTACATTTGTAAGCATTTGAAATTAGTACTTCAACACCCTCACATGTAGTCCATTCGGGGCTTCAACTCTCGGGAATTGTACAATCTTTTCTCCCCCAATTTCTTCCCATCTGCAACATAAAAACGAATTAAGCAAACGAGCATTGAAGTTTCAGAACGAACGAAGGAATGCCAGGTATGAGACGAACCCATTTTTGCAACCTAGATATATAAATGATGGGATTACAAAATGAAAAAACAGAGTTTTTACCATATGTCAGAGGAAGTGATATTTGAATGATGGAATTAAGTCATGCATAGTACCTGTATCTAGTAACAAAGTAGTGTAGGAAGGTAGAAATCATGACTATGCCCAACTCCTTTCCGGGACAGAGCCGGCTTCCTCCTCCGAATAAGAAGCAGTAGTTGTTAGATTCCAAGCTCTTATCCTGCACTCCATTGAAAAAGCAGATTATCAAATTTTAGATTTTTTTCGAAACAAGTCAACAGGAGGTGGTGCTTTTGTATGCATGAACAACACTAGCTAGTAACCTACCAGCCATCTCCATGGATTAAATGTTAAAGGCTCCGGATAAAGAAATGGATCGTAGTTGATCTCCCTCGTGTAGACATAGATTTTCCATCCTTTTGGAATAACAAATCCTGAACAGCACAAAACAAAAAGCTATGAATTTTACTTTCTCTAGAACACATCAACATTCAAATTAACATGAAGTAAGATTATACCCAACATACCATTCAATTCCATTTCTTCGGTTGCTCTCCTCAACACTCCATTGACTACTGTGGCCAATCTCAAAGTCTCAAAGATCACCTAATTCATCAAGATGCATGAAATTTCGAAACATAGTTTCGTGTGAGATGGTAAACCATAAATGTAATCATGTGTCAAATAAGTTTGCTTACAGCGCGCGTAAAACTCATAGACTTGTAGTCATTCCAATCAATTGGCTGCTCTGCCTTTTTCCTTTCTTGAATTGTTAAATGCTCATCCTGAATAAGTTGAGTTGAGAACTTTTTTTAAAAAAAAACATTCAATCTTGGATAATACAAAAACCTTTGCTTACCCTGAGTTCTTGGAGGGCTTTTGGATGATCATGGAGATACTTGATTGCCATCATTGAAGTAGTCGACACAGTTTCATAACCGGAATATAGAATGGTAATTACTTGATCAAGAATCTCTTCATCACTGAGTTTATACTTCGGGTCCTCATTTCTTACTAGGGAATCAAGCATGTCATGATGGGTAATCGAGGAAGCTCTCCTCTTCTCCATAATCTGTCTCAAAATTCTAACAATCCTTTTCCTTCCCTGTGAAAACAAACATCAGTTTCACAATAATCAAAAAGACATGAATGATGTTATATAACAGATAACAATTTTAAGAAAATATTTTTTACTTGGAACCCATGATGGTAGTTTGTGCCTGGAATGTTGATTGGCAGTGAAAATGTTCCTAGGAGCAGCTTATCAAACTCTTGCTTGAAAGCCTCATAAATCGAACTCGATTCACCTTCAACAATTTGCTTTAAGGATATGAACAATGCCATCTGAACCAATTGATATAAAAAGTGTCAGCTTATCAAACTTTTAATTAGGCCTCTTTTGGCATGCGTTTTGTTTCTATTGTTTTTGTTTTTGGGCTGCCACCGTGTCGATTTTGGCAACAAAAGCTGCCACCGTGTCGATTTTGGCAACAAAAGCATGTTTGGTGCGGCCCAAAACTAAAACACTAAAAAGTTATTTTTCTTATTTTAACAACTGTTTGGCCCAAAACAACAACAATAGCGCAACACGGACCCAAACATTTCACAGCAAACGTGCTTTTGATTTTTTTCCAAAACACTCCTACAGCAAAAACACTGTTTCTCTTTCAGCCAAAAAGAAAACGCTTTAAACAAAGTACATGCCAAACGGGCCCTTGTTCTACGATTTGATAATTATTCTAAAGGATTGTGATTACTATATATACTCACATCATTGGTTTTTTCTTGGATATCAATGGTTTTGTCTTCCCAATTGTTGAGGTGTATTCTCATAAGCTTGTCAATTCTAGGCAAAAGCTGGTCTTTGATCATGGAAGGGCAAATAAGGGATAAAATTGATCCTCTAATGTATTTGTGAGTACTCCCAAACACAGCTGCAATGTTGCATTTCCCTAATATATCCAGCATGGATTGTGGGTAGCCAGGAACAAGTCCTTTTCCTTCATTCATGAGAATATATCTATTGAGATCTGGATCCATAGACACTATTGTAGGACACCCCAATATGTGGGATTTGAAAAAACTTCCATACCTGCCGATATAGATACATATTCAGGGATCCAATATTTTTAGTCAATAAATATATATATATATATATATTTTACTTTATTAAAACAATTCAATAATTCTAGTACAGAAATGTTTAGCAATTTTAGGCGTAATAAAAGTTCGATATAATAAACACTTATGTTCAGTCTTATGGAATGAAATGGAAAGTTCATTCCAACTTTTTATTCCTAGGGTACAAATTTTCATTCCTCTAAAAAATGACCTTTTCCACTTCAAGAATAAAGGAATGACATATTAAGACAAAAACACCTCACCAAGCATGTGTTAAACACACATACATGTATGTATAATATTATTATAAGATATATTTAGCATACACTGTAGTATATTATAATAATTAATATAGTATATAATATTATAAATACACTATAGTAAACCATATGTATATATATTATATAATATAATATAGTATATAAATTAATAAATAAAATATATAATATTTTATGTATTATATAATTTAAAACTCATTAATTTCATTCTCATACCAAACAGGGAAATAAGAAATTAAATATGATCATGTCATTTCTACATTATTACAAGAAAAACATGTTAAAGGATATATATAATTCACTACTCACACCCTATTTATAGATTTAAGTTTATAAAGTAGATGGTAATAAACTGAAGTAAACACACATAATGAAGTTTTCATGCAGAAATTTTTTTTTTCTAAAGAGAAATAAATATCAAACTAATTACCTCAGCCCCATATAAACATGTATAATATTTGTGTATGTTCATCAATTTAGGCATCTCCAAACTCTATTGAATCATTAAAGAGAGCAGATTTTGAGGAAGGAGTTGGTTGTTCCCAAATGGGAAGTAAAGTTGAAGAGTGCGTGCGTGTGTGTGTGTGAGAGAGAGAGAGAGGGAGGAGGGAGAGAAGGAGAGAGAGAGACCACCACAAAAGGGAATAGTTGGTAGTATATCACTGAAAACCAAGGATTAAAAAACCACCCAAAGAAGAAAGAGAAGGAAAAACACTACACCATAAATAGAACTCACCTTGCTCTTTGGTTTTTCATGAAATCTGGACCTTGCCTCAAGAATTCTGTGGTCTCGCCAAAAAGTGGCCACCCCATTGTTCCAGGAGGCAACCCTTTTCTATTATACTTTATCTCATTCCATTTTAAGAGAGCATAGCAGCATATACAGACCCCCAAGCCCAACACACAAACCAGCATCAAAACCTCCATTGATGCTCCCAAGAAGCTTTGAATCCACATCCAGAGAGATTGCTGTAAATGATATATAGTATATGTAGTGAGAGAAAAGAGGCATAGAGAGAGGGCTACTTTATATAGGCCAAAACCATGCACCCACCTAGGGCGATCCTCTTTCCAATCCTAGTAGCAATAAATACACCAAAAACCTCCACACTTTTTCTTGCATTTAACTTTTGTGTAAATTTATAAACATATATAAAGTGTAGGGTTTCAAATAATAGTAATTGACAATCTTTTGTATGGGATTTGGTAATAAATATTACCTGGTAAAGATATATAGAAACAAAGTATTCTTAATTAATTAGTATAAGATTTGGTAATAAATGTTTTACCTGTAAGAATATCTTGCCCAGTGTAGGTGAGGTTGTAGTAGCCCTGTAGGTACTCTTACACACTGACTTGGATAAATGACGCTGGACCCTTTTTGGACTGTTGCTGGGGTTTTCTTTTTGGATCCAATAAAAATGACTGTTTTTTTTTTTCTTACAAATTGAACCAACTTTGTATTTCATTTCACAGTAATTGCCATTATTAAAAAACTTATACTTTAAATCCCACCGTAGCTACTTCCTAAGAGACATAGCTACTTCTCAAGGAGTCTCTTGGGACAACTGTAATTTTGACACGGTTAATGTTCGAAGAGTTGGAGATCAATTGTTAAAAAGTCTCTTGCATATTGTAATTTCAAACTATAATCGTGAGATGATCAAAGTCAATGATTAAAGAGTCTCTTGAGGCGGACTGTAATCTCAAGCTGTAATCTTTAGACGGTCAAGTCAATAATTAAGTAATCTCTTGAGGCGGACTGTAATCTCAAACATGACCTAATTAGTAAAGCACCTAACTCTCCGAGTAGGTCTGCTCGTATTCAAGTTCACATTTTCTTTAATTTGTTAAATGTTCAAGATTACATCGTAACTCAATAAGTTTGCTTTTTTTTATAAGATGTAGTTATTTTCGTACGTAGAGAGGATGTTTCTTGAATTTAATTCTTAACTTTCACGTTATTGTGGACAAATCTTATTATTGCACCAAATCTCATTAACATATATTAAAAATAAATAAAATAAATTATACCAAAATCTAAAATATATAAAATCAATTAATTCTTATAATTGATATCACAAGTCTCATTTTATTTATTTAATTGTATTATATTAGTTGTTCGAAATAAAACTATTTAAAGGGTACAATATGCAATCTTGTAAAATTACTGAGTTGCTAAGTTTAAATAAGTATATTATGGAATTAAAAGATTTTTGAAAGTTTAAAGGGGTAATAAAATAATGAGAATATTATTTAATTTGACTTTTTAAAATACTACAACTAATTTGAAATATTCAAATAGAGAAAGATAGACTAGTAATATAAAATCTGGGTATGTATTAAACCATACACACGATATATACATATTCCACCACCGTCAAGATTTAAGGGTCAGTTTCATTGACAGTCCCCACGTGCAACTTTTCTATTTGGTGATATGACCTGATTGATCCGACTGACTTCTCTTATCTTTTTTCTGCTTTCAACTGATTGCCCCATTCTTTTGTTTCTTCCAATCTTTGCCCCCCATCCATTTCATCACCACCGCCGATACACTGAGGCTGGTTTGGTGTAGTGAAATTAATTGAAATATAATGAGAATAGAGGTGGTACGAAATGAGAATAGAGGTGAATGATTAATATTTTTTGTTTGAAAATAGAATAATTTTGATGAAAAGATTATTTTCTTCAAGAATAGTGAAAAATAATTATTTTAATTTTAAAATTAACACCAAACACAAATATGAAAGAAAAATCATTCCATTTCATTCCATTTTTTTTTTATTTCATTCTATCACGCTAAACTAGTCATCAGAGTTCCCTCACTTACAAATCCAAAATTGAAGGCTTAAATGCAAGGGATGCTTTTCAAGGCCCTACCAAAGTAATATTTATGTTTTTAGGTTAAGAGATAATGATTTATTTATGCAATAATTGATGTCTAAGAAAGTCAATATATATATATATATGTATGTATGTATATATATATATATATATATATAGAGAGAGAGAGAGAGAGAGAGAGAGAGTACAAAAGAAATATTCCTTCCATCTTAAATTAAATGTCAATTTTTAATAATTTATCAAATATGTTCACAGTCACTCATAGGATGTGATGGCTTACTTTTTATAGGTTCAGGTTAAAATGGTAATGTTACAAAAATATTATTTTGACTTTTTAAATGCGACATTTATTTTGACTTTTTTCAACAAATCTGAAACATGTTCTTCATTTTTATTATTTTGCTTCATGATTTATATGTCTTTATTTGACTTGGCTTATGTTTATGTACTGTCGCTTTAGCTTGGCCTTTGTGCGCGCCTTTCAAATGATAATTATAATAATAATAATATATATATATATATGTGTGTGTGTAATTAATATAAAGAGATGACTTGTATGGGCCTCTTGTTCCATTGGTGATGGCCTTAGGCTTCGTTACCAACTTGTATTAAGGAATAGAAGAGCTGTTTTTGGTCATTCATATAATAAACAAAGCATAATTAATGCGTTAGACGAAATATGTAAATAATATAATGAACCGATTCTAATGGGTCTCTTCATCCGTTGGAGTCTTAGATTGCCACCTAAATTGTCTTGGTGTTTTTTTTTTTTTTTTTTTTTTTTTGGGGGGGGGGGGTAAATTGGGGGAGGAGGCACTCAACATGAGCAAGTGTTTGTTAAGAAAAAAAAAAATTAAATCATTAAATTATAGTAACGATAATAAAGAATAGTGGTAATCAGTTTGTCCTTTGTTTCCTATGCTATCAAATATGTGAGTGAATTCTCAAAGGCAATAACACCATGACTCACATGTGTAAATGATCGAGCATAGACTTCATCGTCCTTACAATACAATATAGTTTTCTGTACAGCAGAAGATCCTTTCTCTTCGAACACTTAAGAATTTCCAAAACGTAATAATTATATTCATACAGGGAGTAATGCATTAGATGAGATAGAGTATGTTGGTTGGATCAACAACATATATTTTCATCATCCTTTTAAAACTAATAATGTATTGGTAGGTCGTCTCATTAATATGGTTATGATCGAGCCTAATCTCTTTTGTCCTAAGCAACAATGAGACATTCCCTTCTGCATGCAATGGTGGTAGCACAGAATCTACAATACTACCAGGCACGGACCAACATAGGACCGGTGCCCTTACTCAAATTTTTATATTTTTATAATTTATATCTTAATTTTTTTAGAATTTATGAATTATTACTAAAATTACAATTCGTTCTTATTGGATTCTTGATTCTTTTATTTTTGCTTTTTATACGTTAAAATTTTGAGAACATATAAAGATACCTAAACTAAAATTACAATTCGCTCCACTGTCTTTTTTTTTTTTTTTTTTGTGTATTTTAAATTTTAAATTTTTAAAAATTTTTGAAAAAAATCCCATTAAAATTACAAAAATGAACCCACTATAAAAGTTTGCTCCCACAAATTAAAAGGCTGCCCCCTCACAAAATTTTCTGGGTCTGTCACTGAATATTATAATATCTTCCATGAGTACTCTTGGTACTGGTACTTTAATTACCGGAAAAAAAAAAAAAAAAAAAAAAAAAAAGAAATCTCTCTTGCTAGTTATTCGAAAAGTGTTTTTCTGATTTTATTTTCAAAAAACAGTTTTCCAAAAAAAAATATTTTATCAAATTATATTTTATAAAAGTTTCTATGTGACGACTCTGTGGGCGGGTGTGAGTAGGGATGTCAATTTTTACCGCCCAGCCGGGCTCCACCCCGTCCCGCGCCCATTAATAATGGATATGGGAACACTTTTTGTACCGTTGAGGCAGGCATGAACACAAATTTTGTACCCGTTATGGGTCACGGGGTGGGTAAAGATTTAGTACACATATCCTAAGGGCCCCGCCCCGCCCCGCCCCACCCCACCCCGCTAAGTATATAACTATATTATATATATATATATATATATATAATATTAATAACTTATTTTAGCGGCTTACCGAGTTGCTCATCTCTTACATCCTAATTTGGGATGTAAACTTGGTATTAAATTTGTTTTTGTTTTGGTTATGGTGGAAATTGAAACTTAGAACTTTTTGTGATTTGGTTGTATTAAATTTTTATTTTTGTTTATTATGTTCTCTGAATTATGTTATGTGCATATTATTTTTTTATTTTTGTTGGGATACATAATTTCATTTATGTTGTGCCATTCACAGGCTTTCCACATTTAAATAGCACGAGCTTTAAGTTCCAAAACGTGGGAGAAAAAAATTTGTTAGCGGAACGGGCATGGGGCATAGTATTTCCCAACGGGGTGGGACTGGACATGAAAATCTAAACCGTCCCGAGTCTCGGGGCGGATATGGACTTGACAAAAATTAAAAGGGGAGGGGCGGGGCGAGATTTAGGGAAACCCGCTCCAAACCTGCCTCGTTGCCATCCCTAGGTGTGAGACACTGGATAAACTATCACACTAGCAGGTTACAGAGTTTCACGATCCCACATCGTCTAAGGAAGGAAAATTGCTATATGTAACATCCAACGCCATTCCATGACAAAACGTGTTTTAAAACCGTGATGGCCATGAACCCATCAGAATTTCAAAGTTAAGCCTACTTACTTTTGGAGTATTATCAATGGGTGACCTCTTGAAAAATTTCTGGTCTGAAAGAACCAAAAATAGATAATATTATATTTGAATATGACGAGGATTGTTAAATTCTATAAAACACAATAACAAGCTTATTTTTAACTATTGTAATTTTTTTCCTTCGAGATCATGATCTTTTAATTTAAATGTCTTAAATTTTAGATGATTTACAAGTCTCTCAATAATTTAAAATATTTGAAACGGCATGATTTAAAATACACGTTATAGTTTTCAATTGATGCGTGTTTAATTGTGAGACATAAATCTTTAAGAACACGCCACATGTCAATTATTTAACAAGGTCCAGTGGGGCAGCTGCCTTCACTCTCTTGTAATTATTTTATTTCTGTATGCAAGATTTACATAATTATAAAAGAGCCCCCTCTTTTTCCCACTGTACTCTTGCAAAGTTTAAAAATTGACCCAACAATATTCTAAAAGAAGCCCATTTTAACTAAAAATTAAAAAAACAAGACCTATAATTTTTCTTCCAAATGACCCACCACAAGATTCCAAAACAACCTTTTAACAAAAAAGGGTTAAATTTATAAAACCAGCCTACTTTTAAAATTGTGCATAAAGTCCTGAGTAGAGTTTAAAAAACTCTTAAAGTAACAAAAGTTATTAAGTTATCCCAAAACTCGTGATCAACTGATTAAATAAATTGTGAAATGTAAAATTTGACTTTGCCATTTATTATTAAATTAAGAGTTATAATTTTTATTTTAAAATTATAAATATACCCTGACAGGTCAAAGTTTTAAAGAGAGAGAGGTAAAAGTTTTAGAGAATGGGTAAAGAGGGGGAAGAAAATAGGGGTATTTTTGTAATTTTAAATAATAATTATAACTTTTAATTTAATGTTAAATAAAAAGGTCAAATTTGACATTTCACAACCCATTTAACGGGAAGGTCACTGGTTTAGAGTAACTTGATAATTTTTGTTAGTTTAAGAGATTTTTTTAACTCTACTAAGGATTTTATGCACAATTTTGAAAGTAGATGAAGATTTTTTTTTAAATGATTTTAACACTTCAACAAAAAGTAAAAATAATACTTTTAGGGTAAATTATACGGACCTCCCATATGATTTGTCATAACTACATAGACATACCCAATGATACATATATAAGGGAAGGAACCAACTCAAGGGGCAAGTGCCCCCTACACCTTAAGTGGTTCGCCTTGGCGTATCTATGTTTATCCTATTTTTTAAAAATTTGACGTTTCAACATATCAATATCTAAACTATCTTTACAATTAATTAACAATTCGAAATGTTTTTTTTGGCGTATTCTTGATAAGCAAGCGTTTATATATAGATGTATTGGGATTTGTTTGTGAAGTAAGAACCCATTGACATCTTTTCATCTTTAATAATTCTCGACCTAAAAACATAGAGACAAATAGTCGATCTTTAAATAAGAAAAAAAGTACATTTGCAGGGTTCCAAATGAATTGGTGTGTTCGTATTCCACGTTACATAGGGAGCTATTCATGATAAATAATATTAAAGTCAAATTTTTAATTGGAATTGAATATGAGAGAGTGTGTACGAACTCACAAAGGTCAAGTCATTGAAAACATGAAGAGTACAAAAACGAGCAATAAGGCATTTCGTGACATAAACAAACCTGCACATGCATTAGTTGATGAGCTCTCTAAAGAAGTGCTAAATAGACTGAACCAAATTGTCACAAGACGGTTGGTTAGCCCCAAGGGCATAGTGCAAGCCTACTAATCGGCAGCATTAATGTTAGAGCATAGGTAGGGTAGGGCATTAAAGACTGTAATTAGGCCTAGGTTGGCTCAACCTGGACCATGCTAATTGATGGACTGTAAATAGAAACTCCAATTAAAGATTTGTACATTAGCTTTCATTAGTCTATATCAGGACCACAAGCCTATACACATACACCATATCTCACTCATCAGTTCATTAAACAACCCTATAGGCTATTGGCCTCGGGCGAGCTGAGAAATTTAGAAAGTAAATTTTTGAAGTTCCGTTTTTGACTCATATTCTGAATAATATTTATATTGTAAGATTTGATTTAAAATAAAATAAAAAAACCTATAGACTATTGCCTTATAGTTTGATTCATGTTCTTTGTTCTATTAAAAAGATCAAGTACATATTTGTAACTCTTTAAATCTTTGCTTTGGTTATGTAATATTAATGAATTATTATATAATAGGTATTTTATAATATTGTATGCTAATATTTATATTTGACTATACGTACAAATTATGTTATATAATTAATTTATAATATATAATCTATTTAACGTATAAGATATACGAAGTATTATTTAACGTATTTGATTTATTAACGTTATACATGATATATGTATATGTATTTGTGTACATGTTTGGTGAGGGCTTTTAATATGTATTATTTTATTTCTCTAATGAAATAAAATGAAGAAATTATTACATGGACTCAAAACCATTGATCCTAGGTCAATTACTAATAGACACAAGGGACAGAGCCAATTAATGCCTAAGGGGCACGTGCCCTCCTACTTGGCCCGCCGAATAAAATATATATAGTTAATTTGTAATTTTTTTTAGTATATATAAAAAATTATATATCATGCCTCCCCTTAAATTTTTAATTTCTAAAATTATCTTAACTTTTTCTTTCTTTTGTTCTTTAAATTTTTTTTAAAAAGAGTCAAATTTTCCTTTTTGAATCATACTCAAATTTTTTTCCATTTAAATATATCTCAAATTTCTTTCCTTTTTTCTTCTTAAAATTCTTCTTTTTGCATGTTATAACAATGTTAGTTGAATTTTTTTTTTTTAAATTGTGCCCCCTCTGATTTAAATTCCTGACTTCGCCTCTAACCGACACACAAGTATGCGGTGTCAACTTTGTATTAATTTTTTATTTACGTATCGGCCCGAGATTATGTAATACTTTCTTAATAAAATGTTGGTTCTTTAATTCTTGAAGATAAATGGTCATTTCAAATTTTTTTTTTGGGTGAAATGCTCATTGCGGCAAACCAAACATAAAATGGAGGATAAAACAATTGGGACTAAAGTGTAATTGTCCTTTTTCCTTTAAAAAAAAAAAAATTATTTAACATTTCATAAAAAATAGAAAAAAAAAAAAAGGTCCTAAATACATTTTCATTTTTTTTTTTTCTCAAGAAATATGGAGGATTATATATTTGCTAGTAGGCCCAGCCCATTAATATTTTTTGGTAAGTCCAGCCCATTTAAAATTACTGACCTGTGTCACACAAAGCGTTTGTTTAGGGTTGAACTCTCAAATCAACGAAAGCATGAGTTAAAAGGTACTAGTCAACAAGTGGCTCTGATAGAGAGAGAGAGAGACAGAGGAGAGAGAGCAAGCTCCGTTTTGCAGGGTAGGAGAGAAAAATCTGTGTCCCCCAAAATTTCCCCAATTTTTTGTGTTGTCGACGACAAATATATACATACATACACAGTCCGCTATGCCCACACTAACGAAGCTATATTCAATGCAAGAAGCTTCCGAACACAACACCAAGGACGATTGTTGGGTCGTCATTGATGGCAAGGTCTCTACAACACTTCTTCTTCCCTTCTGTTTTTTTTTTTTTTTAACCCTTTCAAATAATGGATATTTTGTTTTGATTCGTTTTATTCTGATTATATACACATGTAAAGATATTTTGGTTCTCTGTTGATTGCTATGTTTATGATTGTGTTATTTTTGTTGGTACTTCCATTTTTCTCCTCTGTTTTTGAGTGGTCTTATTATGGGTTTCGCGCCTTTTTATGTAATAGATTATGTTTTGTTGAATCTTCCTTTGTGGGTCTACTTTAGATCTGTTTTTGCCATCAAGTCTCAGATTTATTGTACAATTGTTGTTTCTATTTTCATTTTGGAAGATGGGTTGTTCTCAATTTTGTTTTCTTTGGCGATACATGGAAAACAGTCGAAGATATCTTAGCTGATTCAAGTTGTGTTGGGATTTAAGGTGTTGTCTAATCCAGTTGAGGTCAACATAGGCTTACCCAGTGTCTGCTTGAACTCATAACATATTCAGACTTCAAATTTGCGATTCACAAAGTTTACAAACTGAAAATGAACTGCTGAATACAATGCTACCTTATTTTCTTTTAAGTGTCATTTATCAGTTTATCACATGGTCTTCACCTTCAATCCCAACATGTATGCCTTCTGCACTAGCACTTGTGTTTTTCTGGAATTTGGTCATGGGATCATCCTTCCAAGCTGACAAGTTTCTGGATTCTTGTTATCTTTTGAAATGTCAAAGAACTAGAATAAGAAGGAACAGAAAATTGGAGAAAATTATAGAACAGACCTCAATCATGACACAACTCACAAGCAATTTCATGTTTTGGCACTTATCTTGTATTCAACGAAAATTTGATAAGAGAGTACACCATTTTGAGCATTCCACACCTCGAAACCTGTATACCTGGAGAATTTCCCACCAGCTACTCCTTATGCCTTCTCAATAAACCCACCCCATATGAGCTACATATCTCCCTAGAGACCGTGCTCCTTGTATCCACCACTCTTCATGCTATCAGCTGTCGACATTCTTCCTTGTTGGCTTACCAGGTAAAGCTAGATTGAATTGTCTATACTTTCCAATGCCCACTAACGACATGCACCAAAGGATACTTAGTGTTCTCATCCATCCCTCTCCACATAAAATGTCATATAGGCCTTTTAGGTTTTAAGTCTCTTACACACTAAGATTGGAATGATAAAAGTTTTGCATGAAGTAGATTGAAAAACTAGTTGGAGTAGTTTTAATGAGAGTGAGTCTACCAGTTGGAGATCATGACAGGTCCCATGCAACAATGGAAATAAAATACTTTCTGCCTATAGCGTTTGTAGGTTCTAGGATTTTTATTTTCATACTGTCCCTAGATTTCATCTTAAGGGGTTATACCTGGTCCTATTAGATCCCTTATCTGTGATTAATTTAATTTTTTAATTTCATTAATATATATAATTGATGGGTAGGAGTGAAGACAAACACACATGTGCTCATCCCAACTTGGATTTGAAACCTCAAATGCCTCAAATGGGAGAAATAGAGAATAGACGACGCAAAAAACTAATGCTCAGCCGCATCATCGGTATATACAACTTTTCAAACTTCCTTGGGTAATAATTTAGTTGCTCAGTGAGCATAGACCAGTTCATGGAATCGTGCAATAGTTTGGGGGTGCCTTGTTCCATTCTTGGTTTTATAATGCAAGTATTTTATTTCCATAATATCTCCTTACTTTTTCATTGAGAACTAATTTATCCTAATAATTTTAAGAAGAGTTTTTGGTTAATATCTCTAAATGCATCTATGAATACAATAGCATAAATATGTGGGGGAGGTTCAGGAGGTGGATTCTCTTGTTGCTGTCTTAGGGTGCGGGACAAGATCCTTCCCTATTTCGTACCTGGGTTTGCCGTTGGGTGACTCGGCCAGGAGGGTGGGTAGTTGGGACCCGGTGATTGAGCGGTTTGAGAGAAGGTTGGCTGGATGGAAAAAATAGTATCTCTCGAAGGGTGGTAAAGTTACTTTAGTGAAGAGTTCTCTGTCCAGTCTCTCAACGTATTTTCTGTCGCTCTTCCAGATCCCACCCTCTATTGTGGGACGCCTTGAGATGCTTCAACGTAATTTTCTTTGGGGTGGTCGAGGGGAGGAGTTAAAGTATCATCTTGTCCGGTGGGAGTAGGTTTGCAAACCTTTTCAGTTGGGAGGGCTTGGGATTAGGAGATTGGCTCCTTTCAATACTGCTCTCCTAGGCAAGTGGCTTTGGAGGTTCGGCAGTGAAAGACACAGATTATGGAGGAAGGTCATTGTCTGTCAGGTTGGAGAGGAAAGAGGAGGTTGGTTTGCTAGGCCAGTTAGATCTGCCGCTGGAGTGGGGTTGTGGAGATCCATCGGGAAAGGGTGGGATGAGTTCTCTAAACATATTAGATTCAGAGTTCAGGATGGTAGGAATGTCCGGTTTTGGGAGGATTCCTGGTGCGAGGAACGCCCATTGTCTCTTTTATTCCCAAGGCTGTTCAGGGTGGTTGTTGACAGACATGCTTTGGTTGCTGACCGCTATCGTCTTGATAGTGGCAGGTTGTCATGGGATGTGAGGTTTCGGCGTTCCTTTCAGGATTGGGAGTTGGATGACGTCACTGGTTTGTTGGCTCTCTTGTATGGACAGGAGGTGGACAGTATTACTGCGGACTCCTTGACTTGGGTGTCAGCGGCGCAAAGGACGTTTCAGGTCCGGTCCTTATTTTTCTGTTTTTATGGGTTTCACGGCTCCAATTTTCCATGGAAGACGGTTTGGTTGTCAAAGGTGCCTCTTAGGGTGGCCTTTTTTGAGTGGACAGCTGCTTGGGGCAAGATTTTGACCCTCGACAATTTGAGGAAGAGAAGACAAATCATTGTGAACCGGTGTTGCCTTTGCAAGATTGATGGAGAGTCCATGGATCACCTTCTTTTGTATTGTCCTGTGGCCCATGATTGTTGGAGTCTTATCCTGGGACTCTTTGGTGTCCTTGGGTCATGCCCCGGACCTTAAGGGATTTGATGGATATCTGAAGGGGCCAAAGGGTGGGGGCGCATGTTAGGGTTTTTTGGAGGGTGACCCCCATTTGCATTTGGTGGAGCCTTTGGAAAGAGCGGAATAGAAGATATTTTGATAGGGTGGAATATTCCATTGGGGCGTTGAAGTTTTCCATTATCTTTTCTCTCTTTTGTTGGGGATGGGGGAGAAATTATTCATCCATAGATGAATTGGTGGACTTTATGGGTTCTTTGGAACCATAGGTCTTTTCATTGTTTCTTGTTTCTGATTTTCGTACAGCTTTTGGCACGCATTGCCCTTTTGAACGCTTTCTATTATATTTTTACTTATCAAAAAAAAAAAAAAATATGTGGACGACCTTGTATCTGGCTAGCATCTTTTGAACTCAGTGCTAGCTTGAATTGTCAATTCATATAGCATAATTCTAAACGCTATAACATTTCTGAGGTACCAGTTACATGCTTTTAGTTTGATGCAGTATTATATTAGAATGCCTTTAAGTTCTTGGGGTGATGTGCGGTTGATGATGCATTTCCTTTCAAGGCTCTTATAATATATGGCTAGGCTAGTCCATTCATCTTCGACAGTTGCTTAAAATTTGAAAGACCTTTTTTGTAGACATGCATCAATATAGCTTAATGCAATCTGCCATACAAAACTGAGGCAAATCTTGCCATTAGTGAAGAGGCACCGTTCCTTCATATATTTGGTTGTTTTGTAACCTGATTTTCCCGAATAAAATATTATAATTGTCTTCTCTTTATTTTTTCTTTGGTATTTTAAACTTGCAAACCTTTTTACCAAAAGAATCTGGAAGGAAAGAGATCCCAATTTGGATAACAATTGTTATTAGTGCTCAAATATATTGATAAAGGTGATTTGTAATCCATCTATTGCCTTTTTTCTCACGGATCAATTATTAGGGGATCAGTTTGCAGTACACTGAAGATTGTATATGCTCTTGTATCATTTTTCTTTTACTATTTGACATGGCTGATCAGGTATAGGTATGTGCTCTAAGTATCGGACCTCCTTAGTCCCAAACTTTAGGATATAGAGAATGGGTGTGACATGTGTCTAGAAGTTGGGTATAAGTATGTAGACATATCTTGCACATACATTATATTTTCATAGTTAGTTACTGTATGATGATATTGTTAGACTTTATGCTCAATTAGAATTTAAATTATGAGGTGTGAAAAAGAAAAAAAGGGTTTCTAACTATCTTAGAAGTCGGAAGCCCTTTTCTGCTTTTGAATTTAAGCCTTTTCTTCTTCTTCCATCATCATGTTTAGAGAATCAGGGTGTTATATTTGAATCATATGTCAGACGCACTATCCTACAGATACATGCTATACATTACCTAGTTCATGTAGTGTCGACATGGTTAGTGAGGGGAATAGATTAGTTCATATATTCACTTTTCCCCTCCCTTCTTCATGGAGAATGTCTTACCCTTTCTTTTTCCTGGTTGTGCTTTGATTTCATTGTGGTTCTTTTTTTTATTTTCATCCACTGTTCATTGTGGTATTTTCTTTTCTATTTTTCTTCCTTTGCATTTATTTATGTATTTATACTTTTTGGAGAGAGTCAATCCTTTTAAAAAGCTACAAGAGTTTTTATTTATTTATTTATGCATATAACATGAAGTTTGAGCTTTTACCCTAACAACCTTCCCTTTTTCTTTTCTTTTCTTTTTCCTAGTTGTGACAACCTTCCCTTTTTTTTTTAACAACCTTCCCTTGATTGTCCTCCCCTTCTGTTACTATTATCCCAGAGATGAGCTTCATACCTTCCTGTCCCTCTATGCTTATATATAAGCACCATGGAACAAAATTACAAAAAAAAAAATTTAGAAATAAACAATTTAATGTAAACCTAAAACAGAGTTTAAATCTTCAGTACTCGATCCAAATCTAGATGTAGGCCTATTTATAGGCATCGAAAAGTTTCCTTAGCCACTAAGGAAATACAAATATCTATGAAAACACAATCTCTTTAAAATGCACATAATATATCTTTGCAAAGACATGAATGCAGCAGCCATGACATCCTTCTTTGATTGCAGCCCTTGGGGTAGCCATCTAGTCTGGTGTAGCTTCGAAGGCTAGTTTTTGCTCTGCATCACCGCTCCTACCAATAACAATGAGCTTCAAGAAAATGTTAGCAATTTACAGCCATTGACATTGTCTATGGGTAGTGGTAAGGGCTCAACATGTGAAACTAGTGGCGATAACAGTATTACTGCCATGACTGAAGCTGCCCCTAGGAGGACTTTGGGCAAAGAACATCGATTATCGAGGTGTAACTAGGTCATCATCTAGATTTGGATTGAGTATTCAACATTTAAATTCTGTTTAGGTTTACATGAAAATTGTTTATTTGTAATTTTATTCCATGGTGGATATATATAGGCATAGATTGATAGGAAGGTATGAAGCTCATCTCTAGCATAATAGTTGGGGAAGGGAAGGACAATCAAGGAAAGGTCGCCAAGGTAAAAGCTCATACTTCATGTGTATATTTGCATTTATAAAGGTCGCCAAGGTAACACTTAGGAGAGAGAATCTATCCTTTTTAAAAGCTACGAGTATCCATTGGAGTCGCTTCAAAAACAATCTGTTTTTGTAGCATTACTCTTAACATGCATATGCAGTTCATCCCAATTTGGATTTGAAACCTCAAATGTCCCAACTGGGAGAAATAGCGAATAGACCACTACAAAAAAATTTCATTTTTGGGTAATAATTTAGTTGCTTAGTGAAGCTGACCAGTTCATGGATTTCTGTGAAACCCAACCCCCCCCCCCCCCCCCCCCCCCCCCAAAAAAAAAAAAAAAAAAAAAAAATCTTCTATAAATGTCAATAGACCTTTATTTCTTTTTGATGGGGAAGAACTTTCCATTGGGGCGTTTGAAGTTTTCAATTATTTGTTCTCTTTTTAGTTGGGTTATGGGGAGAAATTGTATATCTTTAGATGAAATCGTGGACTTTTTTGGGTTCTTTGGGTCCATAGGACTCCCCCTTTCTCTTTGTTTTCAGTTTTTGTACAGCTCTTGGGACGCGTTCTCCTTTTGAATGCTTTCTAATACATTTTTACTTATTAAAAAAAAAAAAAAAAGACCTTTATATCTAATGCAAGTATTTTATTTCCATTATGTCTCCTTACTTTTTCATGGAGAACTATTTATCCTAATAATTTTAAGATATGTGTTTTATATGTATGTATATATATATAAATAAATATATTATATTTTGTTAATATCTAAATGCATCTATAAATACAATATCATAAATATGTTGACTACCTTCTCTGGCTGGCATCTTCTGAACTCAGTGCTCGCTTGAATCTAACAAGCACGGATACGGATACAACACGACACGGACACGGCAAATCCAAAAAAATTAGGACACGGCGGGGACATGGCGAATAGTATATATATATATATGATGTAGTACTTGAAAAATTACTGAGTGTTACTATTTTTCATCAACCTTACAATGAAAAAAATATACAAATCATTACTCATAATTAATAAACTATAAAAGAACAATATTGCAGAGTTATAAAACCAAATAAAAAACAAGACATTAGAATAATAACTAGTATCATTTAATTACGAGTTTTAAATTATTATGTACTGACCACATAAGTGAGTAAAAGTTGATAAATAATTTCACATATTTATACTTTAACCCAATTTTGTTTTAACACGTGTGTCGGACACGCACCCCTAGCGTGTCGGATGCGTATCCGCGGAGTGTCTGAAAATTAATAAAAAATTCCAGGTACGTTTTTTGGTGTGTCCGACACGTGTTGGGGCGGCCCGACACGGATTCTTCGCCCATTTTGGCGTGTCCGTGCTTCCTAGTCAATTCATATAGCATAATTCTAAATGCTATTAATTTTTGAGGTACCAATTATATTCTTTTAGTTTGATGCAGTATTATATTAGAATGCCTTTAAAGTGCTTGTGGTGATAATCTGTTGTTGATGCATTACCTTTCAAGGCTGTCATAAAATATGGCTAGTCCATTCCGATTCGGTTTTCTTAAATTTTGAAAGATCTGTTTTCTAGAAATGGCATCAATATAGCTTAACGCAATCTGTCATACAAAACTGAGGTAAATCTTGGCATTAGTGAAGAGGCACCCTTCATCATGATGTTTAGAGAATCAGGGTGTTATATTTTCATCATATGTCGGACACACTATTGACTATCCTACGTATACAGGCTATAGATAAGGTTAGTGGTGTTGACATGGTTGGTTAGGGGAATAGATAAGTTCATATATTAACTTTTCCCCTCCTTAACGGTGAGTGTCTTATCTTATCTTTGATTTCATTATGGTTCTTGCTTTTTTTTTTTTTTTTTTTTTTTTTTTATTTCATCCTCCTCTGTTCATTGTGGTATTTTCTTTACATGCTTCATCTCCCTACAATTACAGGTATATGATGTGTCATCTTATATGGACGAACATCCAGGCGGAGATGATGTAATCCTTGATGTAACTGGTATTTTCTTCTTATGCTTTCTGATGGGTAATCTTTTATAAATAATTTTATGATGCAGTATGTGGAGTCGAAAAGAGTAATGCCTGTTTTAAGGGCTTTCCGAACCCTACTACAAAAAATTATCTCGGGATAATTTAAATCGATGAAATGACTTGGTGTTTTAATTTTGTTTAAGGGAAGGATGCAACAGACGAATTTGAAGATGCTGGGCATAGCAAAACTGCGAGGGAGCTCATGGAGACCTTTTGCATTGGGGAGCTTGACCCGACTTCCCCAGCCATCCCTGAGCTTGAAATTTCCCCCAAGAAGCAAACAGACGTTCTCATGGACCTGACAAAGCAATACTGGGCTGTTCCCGTAGCCATTGTTAGCATCTCCGTCATTGCTGGCTTCTTGTACTTGCGTAGGAAGTGAAGGAATTAAACTTTCATTGTGGCAGTTTATAAGATCTATTATCACCAATTTTGAATAATTAAAATATAGTATTTGAGAGAATTTGTCCATTATTATTTCCGAACTCTTAAAAGCAGGGTTCGGGAGGTGGATGGGACCTATTTTATTATCGATTCGGACGTATATGATGAAGAAAAAGATTTGGGTGATACAAAATTATAGATTGATGAATCGGAGAAGAAATAAATGGTGCCTGAAAGTTCATGTATGCGTATTGATGAGGATGTTGATTGTAGCATGTCTATCATGTAGATCAAAATATGCATCAGAAGCATTCGATTGTTTCTAAGTTGGTGCATATTGCAGTCTCTAAGAAATTATATTTTGGTTGATAAACAGACATCAAATTAAGTTGAATCATTCTGATTCTCCAATTCATTGTTCCTCCTTTGTTCATTGCTCAGGTTTTGTTCTCATTGGATGTTACAACAATTATTCTGTTTGTTTCTCAGTTGCTGCATAAAAATTACATAGGCTAAAATGTTCATAGGATGTCTTGAAAATCAAATTTGCTATTTTAAATTGTTTAGGGTTATTGCTTTGTGCAATGAATAAAGTGAGGTTTCAAAAAAAGATAGTCTAAATGTAACATAGGATTAGGGTTAATGTACCTTATTATGTGTGTGTGTGGGTGTTTTTATCTTCAGTTTGCCGGCAAATTTGCTAGAACCAGAGTACTCAACTGAATTTATATATGGTGTATGACTTGACAATGATGGAACAAATGAGAATTAACTCAAACCACTTATAGGATCACTAATACGAGTACACTCGTTCGAAAAGTTATTTTTGACCAATCATCTTCCAATCACAAATATTGTTGACCAATCATCTTCCAAATCATTGTATTGTGGGTGATCTGATGCGATACAATACAAGTTCGACACTCTACGAATTATGTCATTGGTAATGCCCGTTCACAAATATTGTTGACCAATCATCTTCCAAATTACTGTATTGTGAGTGATCTGATGCAGTGCAATACTCGTACTATACTCCATTGCATCCCAACATCACCTACTAATATCTAAATGACAGGTCTTCTTTTATGTGTGGGCGGGATAAGTTGCAACGAGTACACTCGTTTGAAAAGTTATCGTTGACCAATCATCTTCCAATCACAAATATTGTTGACCAATCATCTTCTAAATCATTGTATTGTGGGTGATCTGATGCAGTACAATACAAATTCGACACTCTACGAATTAGGTCATTGGTAATGCCCGTTCACAAATATTGTTGACCAATCATCTTCCAAATTACTGTATTGTGGGTGATCTGATGCAATACAATACTCGTACTATACTCCATTGGATCCCAACATCACCTACTAATATCTAAATGAGAGGTCTTCTTTTCTGTGTGGGCGGGATAAGTTGCAGTAAGGCTTTAGCTGTATTGTAGAGGATTCGGACTCCTTTTTTTGTGGGCTGTGCCAGGCCTTCCGTTTCTCTTGAAAATAGGCCTACAAAAATCTGTATAGAGTTGTAATGTACTGTATAGGATTAAGACTTCTTTCAGTTGGATGGGCCTTTAGATATCTTTTGTTGGGAATAGGCCCATAAATATCTGGATCGATCTATCTGGTCTATATATAAATAAAAAACTCGCGTAATAAAGCAGCTGAGAAGCCAGAGAGAGAAAGCAGTTCTCGTCTTCTCTTGCAATGAATCTACCTGTTCAGAAGAACACTCTCTATGTTGGTAAGTCACCTTCATCACACTGATATTACAAATCAATGCATATATATGCATATATATGTGTGTGTTTGTGTGTGTTTATATGTGTGTGTTTATGAATGGGAATGATTGTTGGTGAACAGGGGGTTTGGCGGAGGAGGTGAACGAGTCGATACTCCATGCGGCGTTCATACCGTTCGGCGACATAAAGGACGTGAAGACGCCGCTGGATCAGGCCACCCAGAAGCACCGATCCTTCGGCTTCGTCACTTTTCTAGAGAGAGAGGACGCAGCCGCCGCCATGGACAACATGGACGGCGCTGAGCTCTACGGCCGTGTCCTTACAGTCAACTACGCCCTACCGGAGCGCATCAAGGGTGGTGAACAGGGTTGGGCCGCTCAGCCCAGTAAGTATCCTCTTTCCTTCCTATTACCCACCATAAACCCTAACCCTAGTTCTCCTCATCTATTTTTGTGTAACTTATGAAGGGCGCTATATGATAAAATTGAAAATTTTATGAGCTGAATTTAAGTGCTAAATAATATTACTTAAAAGTTTAGGATTTTTTCACTTTAAGTGTAAACTGAAATCACTGTCACTTAAAATTTCATCCCATTTTAAGTGGAGCTTATGATATTAAAATTGAACTAGAAAGGTGTAATTGGATGAACACTTAATTTTGAACTGAATTGGGTTAGAACCTATGTGTGTATGTCCATTACCAAGTGGGTTTTGTATTGTTTATGTTAATCTATTTAAGGACTTGTGTTCTGTTACTGTCCTGTTACTCTAATTATTTTAAATTTGGGGATTAGGGTTTTATGGCTTACTTTAGACTTTCCCAAACAAACATGGAGATGAACTAATTTCTTTTTTCTTTTTCTTTTTTTTTTTTCTCTATAGAATTTAGTTTTGGAGTAAGAAATTCGTTTTACCGATTGGAATTATAATGCAAACGCAGAAGGATAAAGTACCACAAGTGATAATGAAGAAGTTCGGCGAGAGTAATTTGTTTAATGTTTGAAAAGTAATCTTAAAGTTGATACAAAAGAAATTGACCGCCAAAACCTACTTGCAAAGAAATCAATTGTAACTCTTTATGAATGATTTTTTTTAGATGGTTTGGCATTTAGAGTAAAACAGAACATTTTTTATAATTGAAAAAACCAAATTAGTGGATTCTAATTTGAGTTTAAGCTGTTATGTATGAGTCTTTGTAATATTGCAATAGAGTCAGTTAATGACACCCTGGAATACTTGAAATAGGAGCAGAGCTATCTAAGTCCGTTTGACCGCATACTTATTTCCTTGAGGCGTACCGCCTTGTGAGAAGGGAGTCACTTCGCAGGCAACTCGTTAAAAGTGATATCAGATATGTTCCCATCTTTGCCTTATCAATGCGAAAGGAGGGAGCTTCACGCTGCTTCTTTCCTAGTTCCTGGCCGGTCTTGCTCCTGATGCTATAGTCTCTAACTCTTGGAGTAATCCCTCTTCCCCCTGCCCAGCCCCCATCTTTCTTGTTTTTCTTTTGGGTAAAGATTTTTTTTTTCCTGCTACATTTTGTGGACTAGACATATCCTGTGTAATGTGATCGTATTGTGATCCAAAGTAGGAGTTAAACACTAAAAACCTTTTGAGGGGCGTACCAACCCCTGTACATAATATCAGTGGCTGCTCTATACTCAATCTATACACTCAAGAAAGACAAAAGGAGAGTACTATCTGTTGCAAAACCAGACACCCAATCACCTATTCATGGGAAGTGGAATTTTTCAACTTCATATTCATTCTGATGAATCTGACTTCCCAGTTCTTATAAGTTTTATTAGCACCCCTGCTTCTAGTAGCTTTGGTTCTAATCAGATTCATTATATATTTCAGAATAGCCTTTCTTTCCCCTGCATGACTTCTGATTCATCTAGCCCACACATGAAATGTCCTAGTGGATGAAGATACTTTCATCATATCGGACAGAAGTAATTAGGAACCTCCGAGGGCATAAAATGTGCCTTTTGTCATGCGTTGTTGAAGTATCAACACTTGAATACACAACTTCTAAAGAGAATGCCATAAATGAAATGGTAATATATAATGCTTATATTTCTTGATAAGTGGCTTCTTGCAACACCCTTTCCCTTGGTTATGTACCAGATGGACTGATGGAGTCTTTTGGTTAAAATCTTATTCTCTTTCCAATCCAAGGTTGAGGTTCTCATGACCAGTGAAAACTGTACTGATGTGTTCCATATTAGGAAGTAACGAGAAATTTTTCATCTAACCTTCTCACATGGAAGTCAGCAACAAAATGGCTTTTTGAGATTTTTGAGGAAGTAATTTGAGAGGAGGTTTCGCTAGTCTTTATACACCCCAATGCATGTTCATTTACAAACCCAAAAAAAAAAAAAAAAAGAAAGAGAGAGAGAGAGAGAGAAAAAAAAAGACAAGGAAAAAGACAAGAAGAATGTACAAGAAGAGAGAGAGTATTATAATTATAATTTTTTTAGATCATGTGACAGATTTTCCCTTCAAGAGGTCACTGTTGCATCTATTTGAGTTTTTCAATTATTTTGTTAAATCATGTTTCCAAGTAATTTCATAAACTTCAAGAAAGAAGGCAGTTGTTCTATTTATAAACCCTAGAGAACTACAATGTGTTTTACTTTTACTGGTCTTATTAGATATTTGTTGGTTTTGGTTGGCTAAAATTCTGACATTGAATTGGATGAAAAAAGTGCTTCTGAAACTTCCCATGGTGGTTCCTCGAAAAAAAATAAAAATAAAAAAATTTCTTTGGGTGGTAGTGAAACTCAATAACTCATTGTTAGCTGGCTAGATCTTTGTTTTTCTTGAAAATGGCACTAGTTGGGCAGTCCATGTTGTACTTGTTGATTGATAATGCTAATTTTGTTTTCTGGTTTTCAGTTTGGGCGGATGCCGACACATGGTTTGAACGGCAGCAACAAGAGGAGGAAATGCAACGTCTTCAGGCAGAGAACCGGGCTACAATGGAGGCAGCAGAGGAGCTGCACAGAAAGAAAATGGCTCAGGATAGAGAAGGGGAAAAGGAAGAAGAAACAGAGACCAAGAATGACCCTATGGCAATAGCTGAAGCAGAGGTTTTGAATGAGAATAGTTCTTAGTTATAATGCGGCAATTCAATGTTGTCTTTCGCAACTCTTAACAATTTCATTTTTGACTTGTATTATTGTATAGACTTTACTCTTTGGTTCAAATGGTCTCCTGTGTCAATTTCATATTCTGATTTCACAATTTGACTCGCTTTCCCTGGTATACAATATGATTGATTACAGAGCCACTGAATATGTGAAGATCATATCTTAGCTATACTAATTTTCTGCTGCGGTCATAATTTTTTATCTGGTGTCCGCAATTGGAATTTGGCATTTTTTTTTTTTTTGTTTTTGGGGGGGATAAAACCACATTGGTCTAACCTCGTTTTCCAAATAACATGATATGAGGTTATAATGATTTTATAAAGCTAAATGGTAGGCAAACCGGATTAAGGCAAAGATGATGGTGATGCTGATCCCGGTAGGTCCTTAGAGGTTGTAACCAGGAGCATACAAATCCTTTGCTGCCCATTTGGATCCCTTAAGAGGTTGTAACCACAGGCACACATAAATGCTTTGCTAAATGTTTTTGGCCGAGGATTAGAGGTGTTAAAAGACTAATAATTTCACCAAACGCATTTGACGGCATTCATTTTCTTGAAAGAGACGGAGGGTAATAAGTACTTTTTTTTCAAATTAGGGATATGAGAGAAAGTTGGTGAAACAGCTAAAACTTTGATTTTCAATCTCAATCGAGTGAGTGATGTCAACTCATGGCATTTGTCTTTGAAAATGAGGCACCTAATTATGGGATCCAAAATGGGACCAACAGTTGGTAGGTACAATAATCAACCAATTACTTCTATTTCTCTTCTATTTCTTTTTTTTTTTTTTTTAACTACTACGATAAAAAGTAATAATAAATAACAATAACATCTTTGAAGCAAGAACATTCAACAGAAAGGAATAGTATGGTCATTAAATTTGCACAAAAAGGGCCTCTCTTAACTTTCTAAGGATCGATTAGGCCTTGGATCATACTGATATGAAAAAAAAAAAAAAAAAAAAAACCAGTACAGGATTTGTATTAAGGCAAAAATTTATTAACCTCTTCTTACCAAAAAAAAACAAAAAAAAAAAGGTGAACACACTTCTCCAACCCCGGAAAAAAGGCCAAAAAGGAGAGATTAACGCAACATTGAAAGGGAAAAGAAGAAGAAAGAACAAGAACCTATGGAAGAAGAGAGACAGCCACTGTCAAACTCCTTCTCTTTGATTCAATACAATTTGGCGCGAAGAAATTTGGACTATTGGGAAAAAGGAGAATTGTCGAGTTTTGAGGCTGCTGTCTTGTCCAGAAACCACAACAGCTTCCCTTTTGTTGGCTGGACCATTCTTGCAGGCAATGATGCATGTTCAGGCCCCACGTTATCTATTGCCAAGTGCACTGCCTCTGCTTTGCTGCTTCCTGCCACGACAACAGCCACATTGGATGCCGAATTGATGACAGGCAAGGTGAAGGTTATCCTCTCAGGGGGAGGTTCGGGGGAATCAGTGATAAACGTCACCCATTCATCCTTCTCGTCAAGCACCGAATGATTAGGAAATAGTGAGGCGACATGCCCATCTGAACCCATCCCTAGAAGGATGAGGTCGAACTTGGGACAGTCGCTTATCTCAGACACACTGACTATGCGGGTTCTAACAAGCTGTCGGATGACAAACTTATAGTCATCAGCAGCCTCCTCTGCTGACACTGTATCATTGATAGAGTGTACATGGCTGGGAACAACAGGTACCTGATAATTATAATCGTGGAAAATCATGAGAAATTTTATAATCTGCAAAGTGAATAACTAAATTTAAAAAATGGGTAAGATTAGTGAGCGAGGAATGTTGGGGTTTTAACCTCTCAGTCTGAATCTAAAGAATAAACTCACTTTTTATCCCAGTTAAAAACACAGTTTCATGAAGGGCATTTAGGTATCAAATGAAAAGGGATGGAAACAGAAAAATAATGCATTAGAGCACATAATTAACTCGGAAAGAGGAGAAAATATGCGCTTAAAATTTCCTAAGTTCCATGTTTTTGTTCAACATTTACAGAATTTGTAGCCCAAACAAAAGGCAAGTACAAACTATCCATGTAAAACTACACACCCCTATTAACAATAGAGAGAATGAAGATCTTAAAAGTTATTTTCAGTGAAAGCTAACGTACATAAACAACAAAGTGATGATGCTCTAATACATGTTAAGGGATGACATTTAAGGTGTTAAAGGGGTATAACCATTGTTTCCATTTAACATGTCATATTCTAACTGTAGTTCGATTGATTTCTTCTGTTCAGCTTATATATCAAATGAGGCATTTTGGCCACCAACAGCAGTCAAAAAAGCAAGCATGATCTGATGGTCTAATTATCTCATAAATCAAGTACTATGCTGTTACTTTACAGATGCAGTGACAGTCTTGAAATTTCCTCCACAAAAATAGTCCGTTTTGGATCATTTTCTCCCTTTCGTCCAACAAAAATAAGGAAAAATAAATAAAAGAAAGAAAAGACAGAGTGTGAAAAAGAGAAGCATAAAGGGCATCTCTCTCTCCACTGAGACTTTCGCACGTACGTGTAGATTCATGTATGTTATCAAGACTATCTCTATTTATCCAATCCACATCTGATGCTCCAAAAGTGAATGGCCCACCTATTGACCAATTTATTTTTAATATTTATCAATGGTTTCGACCTAAAATGCAAATAAACTTATCTTTATTTTAATATAAATACAATCATACTAAGAATTTAGTCTACAGTATTGGATTAGGCTACGTGACTATAAATCCAACTGCACAATATAAAAGATGAGGTTAGTACACAATTAAAGTTGCATAACATCCCTGTAAGGCGGTAATCCAAAATTAAAGACCAAGACATTTTTCTGCATTTTTCAGAAAATTCAAGAGTTGTCAAGGTACTACTCACTTATCTTTTGCTAGAACTTTAGAAGCATATCAATGATAGGACTCTTTTAATGCTATTTCCATTATCTACTTTTCCAGAACACCATAATTAGGGGTCACTATAGTCTCACCTCAAGAAACCAAAGTTACAGGTAAGTACAATCTATTGTTCAAGACCCACCAAAACTGTAGTCCATTGACAAAACAAAAGAGTAATAAGTGAGTTCATTACTCAGTAGGGTTGAATGGTTGTGGATACTGTAACTGATATATAACCACAAAAAGCATCAATCAGTGGATATTTAAATTTCAATCAGCTACAGTGTAATTTCATGTGAATGAAACCAAAAGGCCCCATGAGAAGAATGATTAGGCAAAACACTCAAAAGATGCTAGTAAGGATCATGATTCGGAATCATAGTGATCCTAGCAACCAGTTGTATATTAGTTTTGCCAAACTGTACCATTATAAGTACATTCGACGTCATAGTTTGTTCTGAGAAACTTTGAACATTGTCATATGAGGCCGTATGCAGTAATCATACCAATTCTTCTTTTTCTTTCTGTTGGGTGGGAGGGGGTAAGAATCATGCCAGGTTCAATTGTACAATTTAACAGTTTATGTTTCAGTGAAAAATCTAATACATTCAGTTGCAGAGTTTAACAAGAAAATACTGCATGGATTTGCCAATAATCACCTTCTGTGCAGAGAAATTTTTTCTACAGATTGATCCCCCTTTTGGATATGATAATTAGAACAAGAAAAGACCTGATAGTCTCCTTTATTACAGTTGTTAGTTGACCACAAACACGAGTAACATCCACAAAAAATCGTGTTGCAATATTCAATAAAGCAAGAATAAAAAATGAGAAACATTCAAATAACTTGAAACGAGCAGTTAGATTGTCTGAGTAGTGTATCATATCAAACTGTTACAGAAGGATCTAAATGCAGAAATAACCCATAAATTCAACCGACGACTTCCTTCTCAGAACAAAATCTATTTTTTTTTGTAAGTACAAAGAAGTTCAACTCTTATCTACAAATTACAAATGAATTCTTGCTGTCTAAGGTTCTACCTTGACAATCACTCATTTTCTCTGCAATTTCAGCCCTAGATAGATCACTTTTTAAGTTTTGTCTTTTCCCCTAAGAACCTGACACATCTTACATATTATGAATTGGTTTGTATAATATACAAGAGTAGGCAAGCAACAATCACCAAGGGAAAAAATCATTAATAAGAATACTATGCAAAGATCCATTTACTTATTATAGTAAACACTTTCAACTGATGGAAAACATATAATACAGAATGACTATAGCCAAATTATACGGTTGCCAGGGTAGTTTAAGTTGTAGTGCAACGAACTGCAGCAACAATCCTACCAAAACTGTTCTGATGATTGTCCGCCCTTTTACAAGAACTAAAATCATTTAAGTAAAAAAATATTCATAGACAAACTTAAAACCTTGAATGTCCATGTCAAACTGTAGCTGCAATATTTAGAAGATAGGGTAAAAGAGAACATGAAGGCATCTCAAAACTAAGAAATTTATAATTGCGCACGCAGTCTCCATAATTGGCAAAATAAACTTGATATTACCTCTAATTTGAAACAGTAAATAATGTCTGCAGTATTTAGCTTTTGGACCAAATAATAGGTTACTTAGACTGTCAAAATTTAGAAATTTTCCAGTAAAGAAGAACATTGTAAGGTTTATATTGCACATACGGGTTTGGAGATAACACAAATGGGATCAGAAAAACATTTCATGGATGGATTTGTATCAGTCATGCCTAGAATCTAAATCAAAGAAAAAGAAACCCTGAATATTGCTTATTCAAACACAATGAACGCGGAAATTATACATTATGCATTGAAGATTAGGTAAGTACCTTAGACAAAAGCCCATCCTTTGCCAGCTTATAATTGCTATCAGGATGATTTTTCGCCACCACACGTTCATCAGTCCAAAAGATGTACCATTTGGCCCAGTCAATAGTCTTGTTATAAGGAGCTTCACAAAGTTTTCTGCTTTCCACCAAAAATTCCAACCAAGATCAGAAAACATAACCAAAAAAAGAAAAAAGAAAAAAAGCCAACAATCAAGCATTGTAGAAGAAAGAATTGATACCCCATCAAGCCAATGAGAGAACCACCAGAAAGAGCAATGGCAAAAGCACCTCGCTCTTTCACTGACACCTCTGATAAATCTGCGATAAAGTCCGCCAAATCGGTGCTGAGTTCAGCCAAACTTTCTTGAATCCTTAACTCTCCTCTATCTTTATGAGCCCCAGAAAGAGCCATTCTTGTAACAAGGCTACTTTACAAGAAAGCTCTAATGCCAAAAAAAAAAAAAAAAAAAAAAAAAAAAAAAAAAAAAAAAAAAAAAAAAACCAACGACAATAGGATCAATTATTAATTTAAAGAACTCTAGCACAAACTTTACTTGCCAAAAATGAAAAACACAAATTCCATACCAACTCTATATATTAAATATCAATCTTCACCAAGAAACGAAAAATAAAAAAGCTTAAATAGAAAGAACATTGAAAAATTCCCAACAAAAAAAATGAATTCTGAACCATAAAATCATAAATAGAACAAGACTTATTATTTTATCTTCAACATTATACTATATTCCAAGAACATTGAAAAAAAAAAGAACAATCATTGACAGGACAGAGATCCCACAACTCAATATATTACTCCGTATTAACAATAGAATAGCACAGTTTTACTATTGAAATTCAAGAAATACTATCATAAAAAAATAATAATAATAAAAAACCCCATTATCAGAAAGTGAAAATATCAACAAACATATAGAGTTCAGAGGCAATGATTAAGTAGAGATCGAAATGAAAAACCCAAATCGAATTCATATATCAAACAAATGAAATATACTGCAATCATAGACAAACCCCAGATCATTAAACATTCTCAATTCACAATCCTATTAGAGAAACAAACTAACTAAACAATTGAAACAAGAAAAATACAATCTTGAGATCTAAGATTCTTGAAAGTTCAACCACTATAAGAATCTATAAAAATAATAAGGAATAGAGAGAGAACCGCTTACGATGAAGACGAAGAATAGGAGAGAGAGAGAAAGGTGGGTGGCAGAAAAGGAAGAAACTGACGAAGGTGGAAGATGGGTATTGAAAAATTCTATTATATACATTTACATATATATCACATATACAATCCAATCTAAACAATTTTACTGAATATATAATATAACTTGGCAAGATGAAGAGAAGAATTTACCTTCAGGGCTTCCACGTGCATCCAATGATCGCGACAAAACACACAGATAAAACTCTCTCTCTCTCTCTCTAAACATGCACTCTCTCTCACTCTCCGACCCTGTGCAAAATAGATGGATAAAATTAGATAGAGAAAGAAAATGATAAAAAAACACCCATCTCTATCTCCTCTTTGTTTTGTGTGAGAGAGAGGAAAAATTAATTGTCTCTCTCTCACCTAGATTTTCTGCTAAATAATTTCTAATCCAATAATTTTAATATATTTTATAAATTTACGTAATTGCCATTAGTGTTTTTTTTTTTTGGTGGGGAAAATTGAGAAGGTTGAGAAATTACAACAAACACTTGTCCAAATAGGATGCTGACAAATGTACCAACGTTCTAGTCACTTGCAAGGCTCAAATTGAATTATTTAATTAAGGTGGTGGCATTTTTTTTCATTTTTTTAGTTTATCTTCACATTATAGTCTTTTCTCTAAACTTATCTTTATTTTTATAAAATCTCTTCTTTTTTTTTTTCTTTTTCTATTTTTACTTTACCTTGTTTCTTTTGGTTACTTCCCCAAAACCAGCCAATTGTCACTTTCTATATGGTTCTATATGTATATAATATATATAAATAGATAATAATTTCCCAACAGAGAGTCGAGCGTCCTTTATTTATTGAATGAGCTAAACTGAGATGATGTGAATATCACACTTTATTTAATGAAAAAAGTATTAAATAATTGAAGGTACCAATTATGTAGTACTCAATAAAATAAAATAAAAAATAATAAAAAAAAACAACGATGTAGTTTGTCAAAATAAGGAGAAAAAAAAATTATGTAATTCGCCAGGATGAGGAGAAAAAAAAAAACTATGCAGTACCCGACCAAAAAAATTGTGTTTGAGTCTCCCTATCTATCAGTGATAAGTAATTAATTTTTATTATTAAAAATAATAAATATTTAGAAGCCGATGTTTTCATATAATCAGTTCCCTCCGAGTAGAGACAATTCGATTCAACACGATTATATGGATCACAATTTATCCCATCAACCTACTTGATCCCATGCATTTTCCACTAAGAAAAGCCCTAAAATAAGTTCAATGGTTTCATGCCCATATTATGGGCTCCCCCTGTTAATTTTGTACATTTTATCTTTGGACCATGATCATTGAAGTTGTTGAATAAGATGATTCCAAGCTTCATTAATCAATCGAATCATGATCACTTTGGAGGGTCATGATGTGCTTAATTAGATTGATGGGTATTTGTATTTCAGTTCACTAATTAATTCTATTTTTCATAATGTTTTATTGACAATAATAGGTGTGGTATACTAAGCTTTTTAAGATTTATTTCCTTTTTATGCTTGCTTTTTGATGATGTTCTTCCATTAGTTCAAAGGTATTATGCCATTTCCATCCATGAGGCATTCCTTAATCATACATAAAAACTTTATGTCAAACTTTGATAGCGTCTGTATTGAAGACATTATGTCAGCCATCATTTTCTTCAGTTTCTCCAACCTACACCACCACCATAGATTAAAATGATGGACGTATCAAGAAGAGAGGTTTGGAATCTCTGCCCATCAATATCACACACACACACACACACACACACATATATATGTATATGGGTTAAAATCATAAAACCCACCTCTTATTTTAAAAAACTTCAAATAACCCCTTCAATTATCAAACACTTCCTGAACTAGTAAAAATTATCACGTTGCCATATTTTCGTGACAGAACCATTATTAAACTGAAATTATAGTGTGAGAAGGGCAATTTTGTTATTACAAATTATAAGGTTATTTTGGTTAGTAGAATTATGTAGCTGTTGCATGGTAGCATGTGATACAATCCCGTTAATTTTAAACTGATAGTTTTTTTAAAATAAGAGGGGAATTTTAAGATTTTAGCCCTCTATATATATATATAAGAGAGGGTGTGGTGGGGTCTTTGAAGCAGAGGATGTGGAAAGCCAAACAGGCCCCAACTCAACTAATAAAAACCCCACATCATGACAATCAAGACTTGCTACCCAGTTTCAGGAATCTTTCAATATCAAAGCCTGACATACCGATGGGATCTTACAATTTTGGGAAAAGATGGCTCTTACATTTTTTACTCCTTTTGGAGAAAGCATAAGCCATTAATTTATAAAAAATAAACTAAAATAAACTAAAATAAAAAAAACTTGCTTCACTTTATGACCCTTGTGATTCCAACTTTGATAACAACTGAAAAATTCTTTAATCACAACTCCAATTATTATTATTATTATTTTTTGGTTACTATGCAAAAGCAACACTAATGTCAAAATTTATTTAATACATTTATTTTGATATTATAACAATAGTGTAACTTATTATATCATGCAACAACTTTATTTCGTAAATATAACACATACACATCAAAATAGTGTTACAATCACGAAGTACTTACACAACAAAGTCTGCTAGAAATAATATATTGATAAAAATTAGAGGATCCACGTAGTAGTATAAAAAAAAAAAATTCTCGAAAAGATATAACCTGCCAATCATGTTATTAGTATACTTATTCAATTAGAATACACCATGCAATTTTGTTAAGAATAATTTTTATGATAGAGTGGAATCGTGAATGATGTTTTTTGATGGATTATTTATAGGTCTACCCTAGATAACTCCTCCCACCCCCACCACAGTTCTTGAGGGCAACTTTTCAACACCCCTTAGTTTTGAGGACAACTTTTCAACTTTAGAATTCCCTTTTCTTTTTCTTTTTCTTTTTTTTCTATAAAAATCTGATGGTCTATTACTTGAATTCTTTAGTTACTGCAAGAAGAGATTTAACAAATATTTGTTTTTATTATCCCCACCCACGCAACACACATCCAAAAGAAGATTTTTTTTTGTGTTGTTTGGTAAAATAAAAAATTTAGTATTGAAAATTTCAAGAACTGAATTTTAAATACGTAAATTTTTAAGTGGTAATAAAAAAAATTAATATATTTTTAAATTTTTTGAATTTTTACCGTTCAGCATTCAATGATAATTGATATTCCTATCACTTAAAATTTTACTTTATTTGAAGTGGTATTTATCATTTTCAGTGAAATTCAAACTGCGTTATCAAACGCACTTAATTGAATAAATGTTTAATCCTTGCAAAATTATGTACTTAATTGAGTTTTCAAAAAGCACATTAGTGTTAGTATAACCAAAGTCACATAAAGCAAGATGGGAAACCAAAGCGAATTCGAGAGCGGGAGCGTAAAAGTAACAAAATTTAAATCACATAAAGAAAGTCAGAGTAAACGCGGAGTATGAAAACGACACCCGTTGAGAATGAGTGGGTAACTTATTAGAGAATAACTAATAACTTGATTATCTTAATTTTTAACTCTACTCCAATTTCACTCATGAATTTGAATGGTTGACTACAAGTGCAGAATCAATCAAATTATTTGCATTAATTCTCTTTACCTATTTAAATTTGATTGTTTTAAGAATAAGAGCATCGTTGTTATATCGTGTTAATTCTTTAATAATAAAAATAACAAAACATATCTTGTGAAAGAAAATTTTTGTTCTCTCTGCATTCTCCTCCCCTCTACTTCTAAATTTGTACAAAAAGCCCTACTAAAATGAAACAGTTCCTTGAACTTAAAAAAAAAGCTATCAAATTACCCCCAAAATTGATTCCTAAGTTGTGAAATGACTAAATTAACCTTATATTTAATGTTAAATTTAAAATTGATAAATATAATTTTAGAAGTACAAAAATGCCCCGTGGGTCTCTTCCTCTTCACCCTCTTAACTCTAAAATCATATCTGACATTGGGCTGAGTCAACCCGGACCCTTCCAGCGGGTCGAACATGGTGGAGTAGTGATGCATAGCCTCCACAAAAAAATGAGTTCGTTGTGATTCGCTTCTTGCTCAACTATGGTGTCGATCTTGGGCTTCACCGCCTTCATTGATGATAGAACCTTCCAATTGCACCCAGCCTAGCCAATAGGAGGTGTAGCTCGAACACATAGTTCACTGCCACCGCCTTCATGAACTATGTCATTTCACAACTTAATTAACGGAGTCGGTCACGAGTACAGAGGTAACTTGATAACTTTTTTTAGTTTAGGAGGCGGTTTGATTTTAGTGGAAATCTTTTTGTATAAATTTGATAGTAGAGGAAATTTATTTGATTTTACCCCTTTATCTAATATTATCCTAAAGAAAAACCTCTCGACCTAAAGAACTAAATCAAAGGATTAGATTAGATAAATTTGAAAGATAAATTTGAAACCAAAGAAGTTGCAGAGATAAAGAATATATATACATTGTTCACAATTTATTTGTGACAAATTAATGGGGGAAATTAATGAAAATGAACAATATTACACATTGTTTAAAAAAAAAAAATTAGCTAGATTATTTCCTATGAAGGAGAATAAGCATGCGAGAAAGAATAAAACACAATGAATTTTGTAAGTTTCTTGATCTTGATTTGAGATTGTTAGACATTTTCCTCATAAAAGAAGTTAATTCAGGCTTTTCTTAAAATCATAATATTTTTTCGTAAATTTTAGAAGGATCTTTTGTCCTCAATACAGAGGAAAAAGAGAGAGAGAGAGAGAGAGAGTAAAGACGAATAATATATTTGTTTAAAAGAAAATGATTTAAAAGCATTACAATAAATTCGATGGTTTTAAAAGTCTTGACTGATATATTCGGCGAAAAAAAATCCTCCCCATTTATTCTCTCATTGGAGGATGTTCGGTGAGTATCTAATAGTAGTGATTAACACCATATTTCTAATATAGCTTT